GTCGCGGAGAACCTAACGGGTAACCGGGGCTCCGGCTCGACGTGCAGGAGAAGGAACGGGGTGGTTTTTAGTCAGTAAGAGTCTGACACTCCCTCCCGCCTCACCCAGGCGGGGGCAGTCATTCGATGATTTTCCCCCCTTAAACCCAGCTAGACCGATTTGGCTGATTTCTTTTTTTTTTTTTTTTGTGTTTGTTATTGTCAGGAGAAGGTTCTTATGACAGAAAAAAATCCTGAAAATCGTACAGGAACGGGAGAAAACGCGATTGCGCGTACGAAGCCGCTGGCAGAAGCTAGTCTACTTAACTATATAAATAAAAATAAATTTCCGTCATTTTCCGTTCGTTAGTCTCGTTAAAATTCAAGAACGGTTGAACTTAAGTGTGGGAGAGCCATGCTTCGGCACGAATGGGCCGGCTCGACCGGAGTGATACCACGGCCTCACAGAAAACCCGACGTGAAGCAACGCTTGCATTGTGTTTCATCGTGTGAGTGAGGTTACCGGAGGCCCAATTACCATCCACTTCCCCAATCTCCCCAAACCCTGAATCCCCAACGATCCCCAAAATCCTAATTCCCCAAAATGCCGGTAACGCACTTGTGACGCCACTGGTGTTTCAGGTGTCCATGGGCGACGCGGATTGCTTGCCATCGGGTGATCCGTCGACTCGTTTGCCGGCTTAGGCCATAAAAAAAACTGATTTGGCTAATTTTGGTCTTGAAATGTTTGTGGAAGTTCAAATGTGAGAAAAATATTTAGGCGGTACAAAATTTGCCGGGACAACTAGTCTGACATATATCTATTTCTTGCCATTAACACAAAAACTTATATCTTAACCCAGGTCGATACAAATCTTCTACTTAGGACAGTGCCCTTAACACGCGAGGCGAGAGAGAGAAGCGAGCGTGCCGCGGGAGCAGCCTCCGAATGCCACACCAATTTTTTCTTGTAGATTCCTAAGCATTTCAATTAGCTTTTGACTGTTTTGGGGTAAGAATATGAAAACTCGTTTTTCGAAAACGGTAAGTTACCATAACTTGAGATTGAGAGTAAGGGACGAGGGATAGGTACAGATAGGAGGGAGGTCCTTTCTTCGAAGATTATACACCCTCTGCATAGTTGTTTAAGAAAGCGATATGTATTCTTTCAAAAGATGTTTTTTTTATTTGTAATGCAGTATGTCGGGGTAATTGGAAAGTACTTACATGTTATGTTATTAGACCCAAATATTTACGAAATTTCGTTTGTCTCTCACTTCGTTCGTGGGGAATATTATAATACAATGGACAAAGTTTCTACTTTTTAGGAACCCATAGTTTCTCTTTGCTGTGGGTGACAGCTTGAGCTGGCTGTCGCTTTATCAGAGGCAGGTCCAAGGTAGGCAGGAGTTCGAGACTGTGAATTCAAAAAATCAGAGTGCCAAGCACGAATAACCATCTCATTCATAACGTAATAGTATCGAGCGCGTTCGGCGCTCGTATTGGTTGGTTCACTGGAACCGGCCAATCAGATCAGGGGTTTTCAATTATGGCAGTCTATGGCCGAATGGCCCAGTGATATCCTTCTAGGCCCTAGGTATGCCCTAGATTATATGGGGTACCTGATTTACCCGTTTAAGGGAACGTGTGGTTTTAGTCAGTTCTGATTTGACAACCCACTCCACCGCTGGCACTAGTTAGGCTATTATAATGTAATTGGTGAATATTTCGGGAGAAACTCCCCGGCAGACCGACTTCACTGAGGAGTGGCAGTGGTGTTTTATTTTACACTGAGAATTTTATTTCTTTAAATTTAAATTAAAGCATGTAACGCCGTCCTCACCTTTGTAGCATATTAAAACCTACCTTAGGCTTTTTATAGTCGCGTGTGTTTTGTTTGTTTGCGCGCGGAGGCACGCCGCCGGGGCGAAAATACGCTGCCTCGCCAGCTTAGAATCCTCTGTCGCCTCGAGGACACGGTGGAGCATACGGTGGCGGTGTGTCCTGCGTGGGCTGAGCACCGCCGTGTCCTCAGGGATGTAATCGGCGACGGCGACCTCTCACGTCCGGCTCTGGTTCAGACCATGGTACGGAGCGAGGGGGACTGGGATGCCGTCTCCTCCTTTTGCGAAGCAGTTATGCTAGCTAAGAAGGAGGCGGAGCGCGGAACGAACCTCCTCACGCCCCAGCCGTCGCGAGAGACATTCCGGGCGTCGGGGATCGCGAGACGATCTCCGGCCACCGTAAGCACGGGCCTGCGGACGGCGAGCATGGGTGGCTCCCCGTCCGACCAGAAGCAGGCCCGAGCGTACGGCGCGTCGCGTACCGCGCGCGCCTCAAAGAGCCATCAGACCACCACGGATGGGGCCCAATAGGGCTAATGCTGATACGGACCCGCGGAAGACTTAACGGGTTGCCGGGGCTCCGGCTCGAAGTGCAGGAGTAGGAACGGGGTGGTTTTTAGTCAGTAAGAGTCTGACACTCCCTCTCGCCTCACCCGGGCGGGAGAAGTCATTGGATGATTATCCCACCTCAAAAAAAATAAAAAAAGGCTTTTAATAGTAGTAGTGATAGCTACAAAGCTAACGGCTAGCTTGATGGTAAACGGCCACAGGCTTGCGGGCACCGCTTAAGAACACCTGCAACATCACAGGCATCACAAGTGCGCTGCAGACCAGACCACTCAGGAAACTTTAATTGTGTCTTGCGTCCCCTTAGTTTCCGGAAAAGACTACTACAGTATACTGGCTGGTTTCCGGAGACGAACAATCTTTTAGCTTATCAGATATTACGTCACTGATATTTAGGTCGTGATGTTGCAAACGCTTTTCAGCATCGCACCTTCTTTATTCCTTGGCGTAGGACATACTTCTGCCATTCAACCGTCACAGATAATCACTAAAATAGAAAAAAAAGCAGATGACAAATCACAACTCATCAATACGATGAGATTACAAAACGTTTTTTAATTAAATGTACAAAATGTTATAAAAAAAATATCCGAAATATTCTTCTAAATTATTAGTGTAAACAAATAACACAAAAATATTACAAAATGAGTGGTGATAAAAAAGGAAAAGATGCACCGAAACCACGTACGATACCCAAATACATGAACTTCATCATTGGAGGCACCGCCGGGTATGTACTCGGTATTACAACTAAATGCAACCTTCCCTATTTCGTACTATACCCACGTACCTAGGTATTGCAGTATCGATATAAGTAGGTAGGTAGTTAATATTAAAATTCAACGCCTGTGAGGCGTGACCTAAGGCTAAAGGCTCTCCTTTCTCCCTATCCTCACAGCCACACAAAATTTTCTCTAAATGAGTCCTTGAAACCCCTGTTAGTTATTTCATTATCCCGCATTTTCAGGATGATGGGAATTACTATAGTACAGCCGGCCGACTTGTTGAAGACCCGTATGCAGTTACTGGGTCCCGCTGGCAAAAACGCGTCGTTAATGAAGGTTGCAGGTGATATCCTGAGAAAAGAGGGTATTCGAGGTTTCTACGTAGGTCTATCGGCTGCCCTGCTCCGCCAGGCCACCTACGGCACTGGTAGGCTTGGCTGCTTCAATGCAATATTCGACTGGCATAAAGCGTAAGTGTTCAACATCATCAACTGTTCTTCTAATCGTTGAACCAAATTAACAAATTCTAAAGAGCAACTTCTATTTTAGTAATCGCGGCGTTCCCAATTTTCCAACGAAGATCGTAATAGGTGTGGTTTCCGGTGCTTTTGGAGCATGGATAGGCACACCTGCTGAAGTAGCGCTTATTCGGATGACTGCTGACGGCAGGTTACCGCCAGAAAAGAGGAGAAACTATAAAAATGCATTCAACGCTCTCACCAGGTAGTATTTATCAATCATTATCAATTTTAAATATAAATATTATAATATGTTTCATTTCTACAAACACATTGGATACGACACCGTACCTACACCGTACATCCATGGAAAGGTAGGTACCGCTACTGAATTCTATAAGAAAGGGTTGTTATGGTGCTCTATATTTACTTTGTCTTTTATTAACATAGAATAACGCGAGAAGAAGGCATAACAACACTATGGAGGGGCGCCGGTGCGACTGTCAGCAGGGCTATGGTGGTCAATGGCGCCCAACTGGGCTCCTATTCCCAGGTACTAGAGACAAGCTACTTCACATAATTATAGTTTTCACGTCTTCTAAGCAGCAAAGTACAATATACCTCGAAGCTCACTATTAGCCTAGTTATTTACCAAAACGTTGTATTGTTTTCTTCTAACGCCATTTCTTCTATCTCGCCAATACAAACAATTCTAGGCTCGAGAAATGCTTCTGCCGTACATGTATGATGGCTTACCACTTCACGCAGCAGCAGCCATGATTGCCGGCTTCATCACTAGTGTTGCCTCACTGCCCGTCGACATTGTAAAGACCAGGTATCAAGCTAGTGAACTTTACCTATATTCTTACCGAAAATTTTGAATTAAGTTAGGAAAAATATTGTTCACAGTTTTGTATTATAAAATTCTCATGAGACAAATTAGGGGCCATCCATAAATTACGTCACAATTTAAGGGGGAGGGAGGGGGTCGACGCAATGTGACATTGTGTGACAAGGGTCCAGGGAGGGATCCAAAGCTTTGTGATGTCACATATCAAAAACTATTACAATCTTTGTTAAAATATGAAATATAATTGTATTAATGTTTTTTATTATTTGATTTGTGATTAACATTTTTTTAAAATAATATAAGTGGAAATAAAAATAACAATAGTTTCTATACTGTAATTCTGCAAAATGTGACGTCACATTATAGGGGGGAGTCTCACTAATGTGACTAGCTGTGACAAATGACAAGGACGGAGAAGGGCAAAAAAAAAATCACAGAATTCGTGAGACGTAATTTATGGATGACCCCTTGTGTTCAACTTGTACTTGCATAATTCGACTAATTTAAAACCACCCCAGGGGGGCGCGCCATTCATGAGCAACATTGCGCCTACACAACTCTGAGGCGGCGAACATTAGTCATTTGGTCACTGTAATATTATCACATATTACCATGATTTGGTAGCGCGATGCTCTTAAACCATCATGTCTAGGTAACGTCAGGTGCTTGAAACTAGTCCTCGTTAAATAGTTACATGATTACCGTTAAGTACGTATAATTAATTCTTTTTCACATTTTTACCACATTTACACTAAATACTTTCCACCACTCAGAGTACAGAACGCAGAAAAGGGTACGGGCCAATTACAAGTTTTGAGGAGTGTCATACAAAACGAAGGCTTTATGACTCTCTGGAGCGGTTTGATGCCGACCTACGCCAAAATCGGACCTATGACTATATTTATATTTGTATTCTTAGAACAGCTCAACAAACTGTACCTCCGAGTAACAAGTTGAATGTAAATTGAAGTGGACGTGGTTGTCAAAAGAATAAAGAGTCAAAAATAAACCGTCAACAATTGAAAGGCACGGGAAAAAATTGAAAAAGGGAAATATTGAAAAAGAACATTGCTTACATACCAATATAAGAACAGTGAGGTACTTACTTAACTTATAAAAAGAAACGTGTCGAGTTCATACCCATGTGAGTCAAGAACGAGATGTTGTACGTGTTACTTACGTGTGGAATTGGAGTATACAATTTTAAAATAATTAGTTCTGTGACAATTAAATATAATACGCATCTAACGACCAATTACCTGTACAGAAGCCGAAGAAGCATATTATACAGAAGCATTACACAAATACCATGTTTTGTCTGTGTATTTTTATTACCTCATTTTTATACCGACGAAAATATTTTTAAGGCAAAGTTTACAAATAAAACATGTTTGCATACTGCGGTGTTTTGATTACACATCACTTCATGATAAAATGAAACACAGGGTACCTTTAATCCGATATAATATTTATTTGTTTCTATTAACACGGAATATAATAAAATATTTTAACCCAGACCCATATAAATGGCTGAAGAAATATTTTTAATCTATGATTTCTAACCAAACAGTTTGGTTATCTAGCAGGTCATCTCATTACCTTCTGTAAGATTATTCTACTTTTGAAAATGTCGTTGAAATGTGTTAGAAATTCTCTTACACCCGGATACTAAAAAGTATAAATTTTAAGTTGTAATTAATATCGTGCCATCTCTGTCGTTTTACAAAGAATTTATATAGACAGAACTGGAATAAAAAGCGCGACCTAAATTGAATGGTGTTTAGTATTTGGGCAACAGATCAGAATAAGCAATTCTATATCGATAAGAAAGGTGTTTTGATACAGGAGTCAAATCTTAGTATTGAGAATATAATATTTAATGCATATTTTGAATTGCACGATAACATGGTTTTGAGGTGCAAACTACCCTTTGGAATGGAGAGGGAATCTCACTAAATATGTTGAAAGTCATAATTAAATACAAATAGGTCTAAAGATCAAGTTCACTCAGTAGCGTACAGCTTGGCAGAAATGTGTTTGGAATAATTGAGGTCGCAATTGTACCTGTAGCAACTGGATACACTACGACCAGTGTCGGTTTTGGCATTACTAGCGCCCTGGGCGAGTTTTCTTCGGCGCCTCCTAACTGCATTTCAATTACATTCGAAAAAATATTAATACCGCTGGCTGGTGCTCGCCGTGCTCGCGTTACAGTACTAGTTATTTTATAGCAGCTATCTTGTTATTTAAATTTTGACTACGACTGAATCTGTTCAGATATTTGTTTTTTTATCGAGTTTACAAAAGGAGACGTACTATATTAACTAAAAATCACGGGTTACTCACGTGAATATACTGAGAAAAGCTCTACTAGTTTCTAACCACAGAGGGGTTCTTCCTCATGAGCAGCGTGCGCGGTCGCGGCACAGCTGAGTATGTGATTATATTCAAGTGAGTAACTCGCGATTTTTAGTTAATTTAGTATGTCTCACGATAGTTATTATAAAAACAGGAGGATTTTCGGATAATTATTTATCCATGGTATATGGTCCGAAGTGGGTGCTTCAGGCCAAGTCAATATTAGATTAGTTCCAGCACTTCCAGCTGTGACTGCGTAATACTCTTTTTTGCCAAGCTGTAGTGAAACAAGTGAAACAAGTGAAACAAGTGAATTTATTTCTGCAAATAAATGAATATTGAGTATTGCTATCCCTTTTACTCGCATTGGTTTTTGTATTGACATCTCACTCAATATTTTATTTGAAAACAGAGTAGCAAATTTTTATTTATAAGTAATACAGGAGTGCAAATAAGATATATTTTATTATATACCATAAGACCAATACCATAGAGAAATATCGACCTAATGACCACTCACCCAGATGTCATAATATCATTAAAACTATCTAAATATAAAAAAAACGCTTAATTCAAAAGCACCCAGTAAACCAAAGTATTTTGCAACGATAAATATTTATAAAAAAATACTACAAAATACATCAATTGCATTTCTGAAAACGTCTCCATATTTAATCTGTGGCCATGTCAATATAGATAATACAGATAATAAAAAATATGTATTTTAGAACACAGAATCACGATTAGCTGTAAATCAGAAACGTTTGAAAGCCCTAGACCCTAGCTACGCCGATATTTTTTACAATTTAGTCAGTGGTCGGGGCGAGTTGGCCCGCTGTATGTGAAAATGACCGGGTTATGTCACCCATAGGCTACCTCCTCTACGATAGTCTCCCAGGAATCTGAAGACACAGAGTCCCATGAAGCATCATCTGTCTCCTGTTCCTCCTCCTCATCGTAATATGCCAACTGGAAAAGAACAATTTATCTTAGTAATTTTACTTAATATTATAAATACGACAGTTTGTATGTCTGTCTCGATGGCTGAGTGGTCGCAAGTGCGACTGCCGGGCAAGGGGTCTCGGGTTTGATTCCCGGGCTGGGCAAAGTATTACTGGATTTAAAAACAAAATCTTTGTAGTAGCACGGAGTTTGGCAATGTGCTCGGTATATGGAAATAGGGTCACCCCTTATTACATGGGAATCATAACATAAATAGTGAAAAGTGGGTGTTACATTGTACACTGGCATTAATGTACACCTCTGCCTACTCCTTCGGGGATAAAAGGCGTGATGTTATATATAGAGATAGGCAGAGGTGCACACAGAAGTAACACCCACTTTTCACTATTTATGTTATGAGCCCTATGTAATAGGGGGTGACCCTATTGCCATATACCGGCCACAATTCCAGATTCCGTGCTACTACTGTGAAGTTTTGAAAAACCCAGTATTACTTTGCCCGACCCGGGGATCGAACCCTAGACCCCTTGCCCGGCAGTCGCACTTGCGACCACTCGGCCAATGAGGCAGAGTTCGATGTTGAATAGTCCATTTATCGAGGAAGTTATAAGCTATAAAACGTCACGGTGAACCCGCGTGGGAGTGGCTAGAGAAGTATACTACTGTTACCACGAACACAAAGCCTAGTCATCGACATAAGTAAACAAGGGCCACAATGTACTCATGAAGCGAGTGATTCGTGTTAATGCGCTTAGCTGGCACTAGTACAAATGGCCAGTGACTGCACACAGTAATCGAATTAACTCTGTAAACTAACATGCAAGGACAGATAGATAATCTAGCTGCTAACCATCAGGGTACCTCGGCAGTTATCGGATTTGCGCAATGCGAGGGATTCATGTTTAATCTGTATGCCCAGGATACTGGATATCAAGTTGCTTTGATTTCATTGATCACTCTTTATTTTAACAATTTTCAAGTTTATTATCTTGGGAATAAGGGTAAAAATGGTTCTTCGCTTTGCTTGAAACTTTTCTACCTCAATGTAGAAAATACGATCATACAATGCATTACTGTCTATAAAAGTGCCATAGGTTTAGTTGAGCAGGTTATGAAATGTCAATGACTTTTAGGTGTTAAAATTCTCAATCTGGATAGCTCAACCAATTGTTCCATATTTCTGTAACCTAGGTATGATGTGTAGGTATGTAAAAGTTCTAGACTTTTTTCAAAATACGTACCTCATTCTCATGTAGTCTGTGAACGGTATGCACTCTGATTTGGAACATCCACGCCCTGCCGAGCACCGCCACCGTCCCGCTGAGCAGGAGCGGCATACTGAACCGGCACTTCCACGCCAGCCCCATCAGGAAGATAAACAGACTCTTGCGACCAGCCATCCCTACATGCACATCATACCTGCAAGATTAACAAAATAGTTCTTTACGTTTTTTTATACTAGTAGGTAGGTACAACAGCACGCGAGATAGTAAGTGTGGGAGAGCCATGCTTCGGCACGAATGGGCCGGTTCGACCGGAGTGATAGCACGGCCTCACAGAAAACCGACGTGAACCAACGCTTGCGTTGTATGTCGTCTTGTGAGTGAGGTTAGCGGAGGCCCAATTACCCCCCTCTCCTTCCCCAATCCCTGAATCCCAACAATCCTCAAACTCCTAATCCCCGAAAGGCCAGTAACGCACTTGTAACGCCTCTGGCTACTGGTACTGGTAAGCATGAGGTAATAGTAATCAATCGGCATATGGATCACTTGATGGTTATCCATATGTTCGTTTACCGCCTAATCCCATAAAAAACGATAAACCATGTTCTAAGTAGGTACCTACCTACACCTGTAACACCAGAGGTAAAAATGCGTTGCCAACTAATGAAGGAACTGTTCACGCTATCGTTTTCAAGGAGAATGTATCTAATCTGTCTCCCCATTTTTTTTTATTTGAGATACTGAAGGTCATTCAATTACTTCTCCCGCCTTGTGGAGGGAGTGTCAGACTCTTATTGACTAAAAGCTACCCCGTTCCAACTCCTACTTCGAGACGAAGCCCAGGTAACCTGTTAGACTGACTTGACTGCACGGTTGGCGCGGTGGCTGGGCAACTGACTGCCGCGCAACGTGTCGCGGGTTCGATTCCCGCACGGAACAATTATTGTTGTTCTGGGTGTGGGTGTCATGTGTATGTGAACTTGTATGTTTGTAAATGCACCCACGACACAGGAGAAAATTCTAGTGTGGGGCAAGGTTTTTTTAAACCAAAAAAGGCTATCCGTATTAGGTAGGTAAGTAGAGGCTGAGGTAATGTTCATTTACCAATCCAATATTAAATGAACAATTTTATAAAGTAACATATGAACTTAGAATTTCTATTGTCACTCAACATTTGTATCAATATCACTTTACATGTACATAATATGTAGGTAGATAAAACCCTCTACTGTTATCAACTTGTCAATAACTCGATGACCTAATAACGAGAAGAAAAACAATCGAATATTTGATAATTGTTATTGTTATCAATCAACAATTAACAACGGCAGTTATTAATTGTTATAAAATATTGTCAAAGCAAAGGCCGACTTCGTTTTGATTGATGTCACAAAAGTTGCTAAACGCAGCTAATTGTTCTACAATATACACGATCAGAGGCCTTAGTAGGTACGAGTTTCATCCTTACTCCTTACTTATTATAAATCGGAAAGTGAGTTTGTTTGTTTGTTCCGATTTCACGCCGTAACTATTAAACCGATTGCTTTGAATTTTTGCAGACGTAAAGTTATAAGTCTGGATTAAATAATAGGGTACTTTTTATCCCGGAAAAAATTGATATTCCCGAGGGAAAACAAAAGTATTGGTATAGATGGCGCTGTGTGTATTGGTATATGTCACAGGCTACTTTTTATCCTTTTGTGACGCGAGCGAAGCCGCGGGTAAAAGCTAGTTTACGTATAAAGTATCGAGTACGCGTTCGGCGCTCTGATTGGTTGGTTCTTTGGCGCCGGCCAATCAGAGT